AATTGAAATAAAGAGGTCCTTTTGTATTTCCAAGAGATGATTACAAAAGATATTTACACAAGGGGTACTTGCACAAAAATACAAAATGAAGAAACTTAAATATGCTCCGGGGCTACAGCTTCAGCAGCTACATCTTCGGCCGCTGCACCTCCGAGATCTTCGTCCTCAGGAACCTCCCCCTCGGGGACTTCATCTTCATCTCCTCTGCTCTCGGAGCCACTGGCTGAATCCTCATCATCAGAAAGCAAAGCGGCAGCCTCTTCTTCCAAAGTCTTTGTTTTTTCAATATCGGCTGAGAGATCAAAGCCACGAGCATGCACCTCCTCGAGGGTTTCTCTTCGGGACTGTCGCTTGTCATGATCAAGTGCACGTGACAGCTTAACTTCAGCCGCATCGAAGATCTCCTTTGCCCGGGATTTAGCTGCTTCAGCGTCGGCTCGGTACGAAGATATAAATGCCTGCATCAGATTTGGCCTTGGCAAGCTAAGCAGCAGATTTAGCTTCAAGCCACCCGATTTTGCGGCTTCGAGCCAGGATCTCCTCCTTCACACTTTGAAGATGGCGTTTGATTGAAGCTAGTTGCTCACTAAGAGTATCCTTCACTGAAACGAGATGGTCCATGCCTTACCTCCACCCTAGGGTCTCAGCCTCGTTCATCTTGAGCTCCTCTTGGAGCTGCTCCACCAGCTCGCCCTTTTGCTAAACCTGCAAAGTTGAAGCGTTAGCCGACCAATTGGTAAAATCCATAACAAATATCCAAAGGGTACGTTACCTTTTCGACAAGCTCGGTCCGTTCATGATGAGCCTCCTCCAGTTCAGCTCGAAGGTCACTGATATCCTCCTCTTTCTCTACATAGAGGGTTTTAAGACCGTCATTCTCTTCCGATATTTTCTTAAGCTTGGCCTCACATCGAGCAAGCTCAGCTCGAGACTTGGAGAATGCTTCTTTATGGAGCCCCACAACCTTCACAAAAAGGCAAAAAGTTAGACTCAGAACAACAAGGATAAAGCGCAGGAATAATTTTAAAGGACATTTACTTACTTGTTTGAAATGCTGACGGGCCTCGTCAAAGATAAAAGAAGCATCTGGATTTGGACCATCTGCTATCCCTGCAAGGCACTCTCGAAAGATATCATGCCTTTCGTGGCTCATCCCCACGTCAGGAGTTCTCATGTTCCGAGCATCTCGGAAATGCCTCTCTAAGAACTCAGGACCATGTGGTGACTCATCCAAGTTGATTACCCCAAGTGGTCCACTCGGGGCATTCTCTTCTCTTTGAAGGACCTCGGGACCGGGCCCCTCGGTCTCACCCTCCAAATGACCTCCAAGACGAGGTGCTCTTTTGTTGCCCGATGGCTCGGGGACTTTGCTTGAACTCCCCTCGGAGATTTCTTTGTTTGTAGAATGAACTGCATCTGCCACCACCGGTTTGGCAGACTTCGAAGCACCGGTGCTTCCTCTTTTACGAACCACCAACATGAAGTTGTCATCCTTTTCTTCTTCCTGGTCTCGAAGGCGTTGGGCCGTTTCTGGAGATAAGGCCACAGTGTCGGCCTTAGGCTTTCGAGCCGCGCTTTTCTTGGGCTTCAGGGGATTTGCAGGTGACCCCCTTTTTCTGTTCTTTTCTTTTCTTTGGAAGGCTTTGGAATCTCTTCTTCACCGGTAGAGGGTGGCCGCATAGCAACGGCATCTCCAAGGCCTGCATAAAAACAAAGTATTTCGCTGAGAAAAACAAGTAAACAAACAAGAGAACTCACCGTGGTTTTTAGCCTCCCATCGACCTTTGGCCAAGTCGCGCCAGCAGCGCTCCGCGTATGAAGAGTAGAGGCCAGTTTTTGGACCGAAACTTCGAGGTCTGGGACCACACTAGGAAACCAAGCAACAGCTATACCATCAGAAAGGGGTTAGACCGAGAAAAAAGATGAAGTCGAGAAAGAAAAGGAGAAACAGGGCATAAAATCATTATCGACGAATGTGTAATTATGTTTCATATTCCATTCTTCGGGGAATGGCATCCTCTCAGCAGGTATCAGATCGGAAGTCCTGACTCGAACAAACTGGCTCATCCACCCTCGAACTTTGTCATCATCGATGCTGGAGAAAAGAGATTTTATGGATCGGCGCTGCAGCTTTGTTAGGCGGCCTCGATAGAGACGAGGACTGTAAAGCCTGATCAGGTGATCGAGGGTAAAAGGCATTCCCTCGACCTATTTTGAGAAGAATTTGATCAGTTTGACGATGCGCCAGAATGAAGGATATATTTGGCCAAGCGTCACTTGGTATTGTTGGCAAAAATCAAGAATAACTGGATCAATGGGACCCAGAGCTGGATCGGCAGGGCCCAGCATGAACGGGTAGGTGTACACGCTTAAGTACCCTGCTTTTTATGTAGTAATGTCCTCTTCAGGGGAAAGGATCACTACATCTTTGTTCTCCCAGTTGCAGTCCTTTTTCACCTGCTAGATATCATCTTTGGTTATCAAACAAATGTATCGAGACATGGGCTCACATCGTCCTGGTGTCGATACAGGTTTCTCAATTTTGAAATCGGAGGTTGTTTCACACGGTGGGGGAATACACTCCTCGATACGAGGCCGCACTACCATTTTACTTTTGGCTGGTCGCGATGATGAAGAGGCTTTATCTTTTTGAGGAACGAATTTAGATGTTTTTGCCATTATCGTGTAGAAATTCAAAGAAAAAGGGTTGATGATGAAGTAAAGGCAAACTAAAGAGAAGGATGAATTTAGAGAAGCTGAAGGAGCTAATGAAATTTTGAAAACGGTTAGAGAAGTAAAGTTTGTGAGATGGTGAAGTTGGCCTATTTATAGAGGTTACTCAAGCGTATAGGGGAAGCCAAATAGCCGACCGTCAGCCGCCTCCAATTAATGACTTTGGAAACTGCACGAAAGCGACCTTTCAGTCACTTCAGCCGCTGATATCACGAGATTGGCATTGGGATCGAGGCATCAGAGCAGTGAAGATCAAATCATTTCTTATCGACCTACTCTAAGAATTGCGGGGACTATCAGTATATGGTCGAAATAAGGCACGCCCGATTTCCCAGGATCGAGGGATCGCCTTAGGCCCGAGTTCAAGTAAGCTCGAGTTCGAGGTCAACAGACTAGACCCGAGCTCGAGAACGGAATGCAAAGCCCGAAGATAGGAGTGCGAGGAATACCGAAGTTAAGTATGCTCGATCCCGAAATTGTACCGTTATGGATTTGCTATAGAATGAGCTAGATTCCTGCCACGTCCCAAAGATCGTGGCGCAAATCCAGGACTAGGATTGTACGATTTCGTACTAGGCGGTTAGACAGCTGTATCAAGAATATTCCTTACTGTAAATATAAATATACCTTATTTAGGGTTCCCCAATTATATTAAGGGGACCCCAATCATTTTGTAACATCATCTAATCATTGGGAAAAGAATATACTCTCTACTTTTCGCCTACTGTTCACCAGAATTGTTCTTTAGCTAAACTACACTTTACTTTTTCTAGCTTAATTGTTCTTATTGTTCTGAACCCATCTCGAGGTCACTAAGCTCGAGGTCACCACTGCTGATTTACATTGGTTTGATTACTCATTTCTTTCATTTCTACTTTATATTTCTTGGATATTAATTGGTATTGAATTTAATCACATATCTTTAAAACCACAAATCAAATTTAATTGTTACTCGTATTTTCGAGGTAAACAATGATATTACGCTACCTTCCTTAGTATAAATTTTCTTGTTATCATTCTTTTAAACTATTTATTTTCATGTGCTTTGGTTTTGATGATTGACAAAGGAACACATGCATGCACTAGGTCCATGAACAGTGTACACAGATCACGATCAGATTCAAGCAAAAGGAATGCACGTGTAAGGGATAAGTATAAGTGGTTATTTCTCATATTCCATATACGGAAAGATTGCAAATTTGATAAGGAGAAGGACTTCTTACTTGAAGAGAACTCTATCCAAGATAAGGAATGAGTTAGAAGTTGAAGATAGCTACAACTCGCCTTCCACCAAGGAAGAGTAAAGCATTAGAACTGTAGTTAATCCTTAATCTACTAACTCTACAAATATCAAACGTTTTATCTTTTACAGGTGACGAACAAACGCTAAAGCTAAGCAAGAATTGAGAGCAAAATAGCAACGCATTTTGCAAGCAATTCTTCTGTTTCAAGAGTGCGAACCTGAAGCTATATGAACTAGATAGAATAACCAATTCCATGTGTCTGTCTTTTATTGTAGTTCAATTGTAGTAGGTGTCTTTTGAGTTGTACCTTTCAGCTTTTCTTAGAAGTATTTGTACTAGGTACTTGAGTTGTATTATTCAAGTTAAAGTTAACTTGAAGCAGTCGCAACAGCCTGTGGCTTGTTGCTACAAGGGTTAGAGTTTAATCCTTAGATTCGCAAGAGGTTTGTAAACATTGTTGTTTGACTCAGAGATGTAGTGAAGTTTTGGTAATCTTACTGGGTAATAGGTCGTGGTTTTTTCACCTTTTGAGTCGGGGGTTTTAATGTAAAAATACTTGTGTTCTTTACTTTCTGCATTATTTATTCCGCAACAGTAGATTAAGGAATACATAAAAGAACCAGGTTCTTCTATAATCCAATGCACGTAAAAATTGGATACCACACAATTTAGCCCCGCTTGCGTAGTATTGAAATATAAAACATCAGTAAAGAGTTTTTATTTGACTAAGATGCCTTTGGATTTGCAGGAAGTTGCCATCTGGTTCGTGGAAACTTCTATTAAAATAATACGATTGAAATCTTTTATATTCCCGAAATGTGCACGTTTTAATGCAAATTGGAATAAATTAATAGTAATATTAAGGATGGACAAAACTATCAAATCGTATTTTACTTGCATTTACAAGCAGTAGTTTAAAAGAATGATTACAAGAAAATCCAAATAAGGACGGTAAGCATACTATCATAAATCACAGCGAAAATCAATAATGATAAAGCAAAAGGTGAAGGTAGATCTATGAAATTATCCCACTATCATTTTATTACTGCAATAGAGGACAATAATTCGTTATTGAGAGGGATAGCCAAAACTACAACACTACAAATCAAGAATATTAGATATTCCTATAAATACTATCACCAGACCCTCACAATTTCACATATGATTTCATGCTTCGTATATAAAATGAAAACCTCTGTAGTTTCCCTTCTTTATTTTTCTCTCTTCTTCCTCTCTCAATTCTCCACGTCTCTCTCTGAAAGGTGCCATCCAAATGACAAAAAAGCCCTCCTAGAAATCAAGAAAGGTCTAGGCAATCCCTATGACTTGATCACATGGGATCCAAAAACCGATTGTTGTACTGATTGGGCTGAAGTCACTCTCTCATGTGATGACAAAAACAATCGTGTTACTTCCCTAAACCTCTTTAAAATTGAAGACGTCGGCTACCTCTCGCCCGCGTTCGGAGACTTGCCGTACCTCCAAAGTTTGGACATCAATAATGTGCGCAATCTCTCAGGTCCAATTCCGCCCGCAATTGCCAAACTCTCAAACCTCACATTCTTAAGAATTAGTCAAACAAACATTTCAGGACCTGTCCCTGGATTTCTTAGTAAGTTGAAAAAAATAACATACATCAACTTGTCATACAATAAGCTCGCTGGTACTATCCCTCCTTCACTTTCTCAACTGTCAAATCTCGAGTTCCTACGTTTAGACAGGAACAAACTTACTGGACCAATCCCAGAATCCTTCGGCAACTTTGCTGGAAAACTCACGTATCTTTACCTTGGCCACAACCAATTAACCGGGTCTGTGCCTAAATCTTTTGGTGGTTGGAGTTTTCAGACAATTGACTTGTCTAGAAACATGCTTGAAGGGGATATTTCTTTCTTGTTTGGCAAAGATAAGACAACTTTTGAAATGCTTTTAGATCATAATAAGTTTGCATTCGACTTCTCGAAGGTAAAGTTTGGGAAAAGATTATGGAGGTTGGACTTGAACCATAATAAAATTTATGGGAATCTTCCAGCAGCTATAACGAAACAACCATGGCAGCTCTTCAACGTGAGTTATAACAGGCTTTGTGGGAAGATTCCACAAGGTGGGGAAATAAAGAGTTTTGATATTTATGTTTATCTCCACAACAAATGCTTGTGTGACTCTCCATTGCCACCATGTAAATCGTGATTATTTGGTCTGTCATTTCTTTTGAGAAATAAGAGTGGATAGTCTACTCCGTGTTTTTGTGGTCCTATATCTATTTATGTATTTCAACCTTTCTCCTTTTACGTCAATAGGCCAGCAAACTTAAGATGAGGCTGCCAAATAAGTCAAAATGTGATTTATGAATGACAAAGTTCTTTGTGTTTTAATTTATGTGATGCAATTTTCTTTTTAGTCATTTTAGAAAGAGTGATATTATTTATATTATAAAATAATTGAAACATAAATTTTTTTTCACCCGTAATAAAAAAATCATACAAATATTTATGGTTCATTAGATCATAAGTTTCAAAAATACTTCTTTCTTTCTTAAAATCCACAAAAAAATCATCACATACATTGGGCCGGAGGAAGTATACCTTTACTTCATTAATGTGGAAATTTCTAAATTTTACAAGCCGGGCGCTTTAGTTTACGTAATATCAATTGCCAAGTACTCCCTCCGATTCAAAAAGAGTATTTACTTAGCTATTTTCACACTCCTTAAAAAAATACTACTTCCTAGATAAAAATAATTGACTAAATTATCCCTAATTAAATATGTAATGGGATTTGGTCCATAATTTTTCGCTGGCCATAGAGATTCCTTCAATATTTACATCCACACGGGTCTTCGAAATAGAAGAAGAATCACGCAATCCCCGTGAAGTTGAGATTTTTGAAAGAATTAAAGTTTTACAGAAAAGTGCGACTATGCGGTCGAGAATGCGGTCGCATATCAGGTATGCGAACTGCATAGTCGCCGCAAAGTGATTCAGTGTGTCGGTCAAATTTGAGGTCAACTATGCGATCGCATAACCTATATGCGGACCGCATAGTCGTCGCATAATTTTCTTGGAATTTTGTAAAGGGCGGTTCTGCGGTGCATTATGCGACCGCCGGAACCCGAGAGGCCTTTAATTCTTTATTTGATAGTCTTGGACAATTCATTTGGCTGTGTATTAGATCAACATGACATCACTGGCAGGAAGGATCAAGCCATCTATTATCTCAGCAAGAAGTTCACTTGACACTTAACAAGGGCAAATTTACAAAATAAGGTTGATTCTTTCTTGATTTGGCAAGTGAATACTCTTTTTGAACCTAGAATAAAAAGCTAAGTGGATACTGTATTTGAACCGAAAGCAGTATATTTTTTGAGGTTAAAAAAAAACTTTTTCACTGCGTTATTTTCTTTATGGTATCTAGAGAGATAATATTAGACCAACTTGTCCCATGCAGGTATAAAATGCCAACACGAACGTTTATCACGTTTACGAGTTTCATCTACTAAGGTAACTATTTTATATTTAAACTCTACGGTATCCATTAGAATATAGATGCACTTTGAAACAAACCAAATGGCAACCAAACTAACTGTTTATATTATTTCATTGCATGAAATGATAAACAATTGACAATTGTAATGAAACAATAAAAGGATAGCTGAACGATAATAGAGAGGAATGAGAAGATAGAAATACACCATAGAAGAAGGGAATAAATCAGAACTCAGAGAAAAAGGGATCAAGGAATATAGATACTTCATAACAGTTCGCATAAATTGGTATTTTTAGAAAATTTTACCTCTTATAGCAAAGATATACATCCCATTTATTATAAATCAAAATTATTTTAAATTATTAAATACTTCCTGTGGCTGCTGACTTATGACAGACTGCCCACTACAAAGCACCTGCAAAACAGGGGGATCAATCTGAATCCCAAGTGTTTCTTCTGTAACAAAGAGGATGAATCGATTGAGCATGTCATAGTCAGCTGTGAGAATGCCAAGCTATTTTGGGATAACCTATCCTACATAAGCTTAAATAACCTTAGACTCAACACCATACTGAATAAATAGAACAACTGGGGATGCACCAATAATACAATCCACGACCAAAAATTCAACTCACTCCTTAAATGGGGAGAGTTTATCCTTTTCTGCCTATAGGAGATTTGGCTAACCAGAAACAACAATTGCTCCAATGGAAAGAGAGAGTCTGTCTCCTCTAAAAATTCCATAGCTAAAGCTGTTGAGTTCATCCGTGTGGCTGGGGAAAGCACCGACATCACTATCAATGTCCTATATGTCAAGTGGCATCCTTGAAGGAGAGGCCACGATAAACTCAACACTGATGGACAACTCTTCAAAATGGCCTTATATCACTACTAGAAATCCGGTAAATACCGACCAAAATAACCGACCAACTTTGGTCGGTTATGGTCAATTACCGATCAAAATACGACCAAATACGCTTGGACGATATTTTGATGGTCGTTTTAATATACCGACCAAAGTTGGTCGGAAATTACCGACCAACGTTGGTCGGTAAATTAAATTCAAAAAAAAATATTGCAAAATAAAACCGACCAAAGTTGGTCGGTATTTTAATTATGTAATCAAAAGATTCACCGTCTGGGAATAGAACCGGGGTGTGTACTGTGGCAGGATACTATTCTACCACTAGACCATTGGTGCATTTTGTTTTAAGATTGTCTTTTTTTTTTATTTATACTCCTTAATTGTATTTTCGCACGAAAATAACGGACCAAAGTTGGTCGATTTTATTAAATAATAAAATTACCGACCAAAGTTGGTCGGTTTTTAAAATGACAGGCCGAATTTACCGACCAAAGTTGGTCGGTTTTTTTAATATTAATTTTTATTTATTTTAATTGCAAAAACCGACCAAAGTTGATCGGTTTCTTGAAAAATAAATTTCGCGGGACTCAAAAATAGTTTCCTGCTTTTTTGCGCCAAAGAAAACTGACCAAAGTTGGTCGGTTCGTTAAAAAAAAAAAAATTAAAAATTAAAATATTTTGAAAAACCGACCAACTTTGGTCGTTATTTGGCCGGTTTTTTTACCGACTAAAGTTGGTCGGTTTTTGCCGAATTTCTAGTAGTGTTATAGGGAGCAGAAGGAGTAATCCGAACATCAATGGGGATTAGGTGTTGGGATTTATGGGGAAAATAAATTGTACCAACACTCTTCACTCTGAACTAATAGCTCTAATGCAGGGACTAAAATGGCAGTATCGAACAACTTCACGTCCTTGGAGGTTAACACATACTCAACAGAGGTAATACACAGTATCAATAAAGGTAATCTAATTTATGAGACTATTGTATGTAAATGCAGGTCACTCCTAGGAGCACTGGGGCATCCACCGGTAAACATAGCTACAAAGAAACCAATAGGGTGGCGGACAAACTGGCCAAGGAAGTAAGCAAGGTAAATGAAGGAAGAACAAATTTTTTGATAGTTCCTCCGGTGTTTGCCAACGAAACAATATAGGCAGACATTCTAAGAACTATTTCTAAAAGAAAAATAAGGGATTGTAATATTAATTATAATGTAGCAATAAACTATAATCTTTTTGTGGAGGCTGAGGCCTCCCGAAATGTTGCTGTTTAACAAACAGCCAAGCAGTAAGTTAAAAATAAAAAAATACCACTACGTTTATTTTATCCTTTCTAACATGGAGGATGAGTCTGATGAATGATGTGAGGGAGCACGCTAAGGTCGGGCCTAGCTATCTTGAGAGGTCCCTTATTGTAGAGACGAAGGACAACACTTTACAATTCTTGCTAAGAGTGACACTCAAAGATAATCTTCCTTTTACTGTCTTTTAATATTCTTTCTCTTTAGATTAATATGGAAGTGTTTATATTAAAGGAACAACTCACAGATATTACTTTAGGTTTAATTTCATTGTCAATATTTTGTATTATATGATTTTTTTAACAATTCTTTTAACATATTAGTGTAAAACAATAGTGATCAAAATAAATTCTGTAAACATCTTTTCTTAAGTTCTCATTTCCATCTCCCATCACTGTGACCAAAATGAATCACTCAATAAGTTGTTTTATTCTCTAATTTCTCCCTTTTTCTTTATTTATAATAGTCCTCCAACCTCCTGTATATAGAGTTATATAGACTACTACCATTCTCCAAACTAACTCGTTGATGCTCTTTGTAGTCACAATAATGATCAGCTCATACCCCACGGCGGCCGACATAATAGTGATTTTAGATATTTTTAAATATTTTATATTGTAGTACAAACTCAAGAAGCCATTCTCATGGGAAGATAGTAGGGGTGTACATAGGTCGGGTTGGTTAGAATTTTACAATCACCAAACCAAACCAAACCAATTGTGTCAGATTATTAAATCTAAAGACCAAACCAAACCAATAAAACTCGGGTTTTTCAATCTCGGGTTTTCTTGGGTTTTTCGGATTTTTTCGGGTAAAATTTTTGTAGAACAAAACATATAACTTGTGCTCGAAATATTTCTTTAATCCTAGTAAGATACAACTATATAAAGTATTTTCCAAGAAAATAATGCAAAATATGACATTTGTCATGGCATTATCCTAAAATATTCAACAATAAAGACAATAAAATTATGTAATATAAATATTGCTAATTAAAAAGCCATAATAAAAACATAATCTAAAAGTACTAAGTCATGCTAAAATAACTAGACTAATAAGGGAGTATTAATTACATGACTAAACGCTAAATAAAAAATAAAAATAGGTTATGCATTTTTATCTAAATTATTGCAAAATAAAAAATAGATATTCAATACATTCCGGTTCGTAGTATTGAATTGAATGTCTTTTGTTAGCATTAGTATTGATTTGAATTTGGTTTGTGCTTTTGTTAGCATTATTTAATTTCCTAATATTTTTTTTTTGGTAATTAAGACTTTCTATTTACCAGGGAAAAATATTTTCAAGTAATACAAAACCCATATATTCCATCCTACACTTCTATGTTCCCCTCCCTCCTTTAACATAAGCATATTCTATCTATTACAAGGGTACCAATTCAGGCTATTCAAATATGCTCCTAAGTATTTGTTGTTTCTACAGTGTACTTCTTGCACAATCTGCTTGCATAATGCTTCCCATCCCCTTGCTTTTGCTGAAAAATTTCTTGCATTTCGTTCTTGCCTCACATAATACACTGTTGCAGCTAAAATCATCTTGAACAGTTCTGTTTTTGGATTCCTTCGCTTGGTTATGTGTGTTGCCCATATCAGCTCTTGATCCCATCCCTGTATTCTCCTATTCATTCCTGGCCAAATTAACATACTGCTCCATAGTGCTCTTGAGTATTCACACTCAAAAAACAAGTGTTGAGTACTTTCTCTTCC